TCCTGCAGCGTCCTCGGGGCCCTTCGCCTTCTTCCCCGTCGGGCCCCGCGCCAAGACGACGGTCGCGGGCGCAGTGGGCTTGCCACTCTGAATCTCCGCGGTGGGGCACTGCAACTTCGAGGCCAGGGATCGCGACGCTGCCATCGCTGACAAGGGGGGCAACCGTCTCCGCAGCATAATCGATAGCCCACTCGCAGGCATTAGCATCTGATGCTGTGCCAAAGTGCCAAGTTGGAATACTGGGCGAAGCCGATTTTTTTCAACCAAGCTACCGACATATCTCCACAGCATGTGTTCACATCGATGAACAACTGAGCATTCACTGTGGTGCCACAGGTAGACAGGCCATTCATCGTGGAGCTGAGGACTGCACCGCATTCTGGGCCAAGCTGCGCGAAGCGACGCCAGCCCCTGACATCCGCCTTTCGGTTGTCCCTGCCAGTGTCAGCACATGGCAGCGCACTCTCCTCGAAGTCCTCCAAGTCGATCATCTCTGCGGTTGGCAGCTGCCGAGCTGGCTCGGCCCTGGCCCCCTCCAGCAGCGAACAGGTTTTCCAATGGCCAGTGACATAAGGAATAGGGGCGCCGACCGCGTGACATATGCGGCCGTGGATCGCGCCCTTGCGGCCGTCCCTCTCGCCCTTCCTCTCTGTGGTCAGCACAGCGAACTCGTCATCTGCGTCAACGCCGCACTTCTCGAGGGAGTCCATGATGGCTTTCTGGGCATTCCAGAGCTGCCCCTTCCTGTTTGCGAAGATCGGCGTCAGCACGAGGACCATCGACTGAGGGCAATCTGTGGTGACCGCAGCTATGAGGGCATCGTGGGCCTTCTTGGGGTCAGCCCGGATTCCGCGGGGTGCAAGCCAGTTCACGAACCCGAGCACTGCCTGCAGAGGGGAGGAGCATCTGTTCTGTCTCATCTTCTTAGATTATTCCTCTTCTCCTCCTTGCTGCCTTCTGCTCTTTCTCCTCTACCTCCCCCTCCTCTCCCCTCCTCCTCCTCCGCCTTCTCCTGCTCCTTCTCCTCCCCCATCCTCCTTCGCCTCGTCCCCCTTCTCCTCCTACTCCAAATCCCCCCCCCCCCCCCCCCCCTGCCTTCCATGCCCCCCCCATGCCCGCAGAAAGAAGACGGGCTCGAGAGATGTCGGCATGCGCGGGTGGCAGGAGCAAGGGCGATTGTAAGGGTTGTGCGAGGATGAGAAGGTGCAGAAACGTGATAGGGTGCAGGGTTTAGGTCGTCTAGGTGACGTGCGAGATGGAGGAGAGGGGCAGAAAGTGTAGGGGCCAAGGGCAAGGATGATACGCAGGAGGAGAAGAATGACGAGGAAGTAAATGACGATGACGAGGGCGAGGGCGCCAGGTTCTCCAGGGCCACCCTGTTGCGCGGCTGGTTGCGCACCTCGCGCTTGTGTTCAAGGACGTGTTTCAAGACCGCGTGGTCGGATTGATCTGCGGGCGCGATCTTCGCACGCCTGGCCAGCCGCACTTTGACGCCCTCCTTCAGGCGCGCATGGTTTTTCGGGTCAGACTCCAATTTTGGCCAATGAACCGATGCCTCCCAGCTCCTGTTTTTCCCATGCTACACGCAGATAGCTTTCATATCGTGAATCAGGGAGGCCCCCAATACCTGGGAGGAGTCTGCCGCCAAATCTGAAGCTCGTGCGTGGGTCCGGGGTCCAGTCAAGTTCTGTTGGTTGTGCTGGAGCATCCCCTTGAGAATCGAGATCGCCTCCAGGTTGAGCTTCTCCTCGTGGCAATGCCCCCGGACGCCCCCTCCTCCTTCTTCCTCGGGCCCCTGCGATGAAAAAGAAGGCAGGGCGGATAAGGGGGGGACATGCAAGCCCAGGTCGCGATTGCACCCCTGAGTCTGGCATCTCAGACAAGACCCCAGCCAGCTCCAAACCAAGGTGGTGGTCTGAACCAGCCTGGTACACCTCGCAGAACTGTTGCTCGAGGTCCTGGGGCGCTCTCAGATTTCTGGCCACTTTGCTGCTGCTGCTGATGCTGCTACCCCGTCTCCTCGCCCCCCCCCCCCCATCCAACGCTCACTTCCCCTCGCTCCTCCCCCCCCCCTGGGTAATTAGCGATCGATTGCAGGGCCCAAGGCAGGCCCGGGCCCCTCCGCTTTGAGGGGCGTCGTCTTCTGGGCCAGGACGGAGAACGCCTCCGCAAGCGCTGCGACCTCAGCAATCTCCTCGGCCTCCTTCTTAATGTATTTGCGGCGGATCACGTCAGGCTTCGAGGTCCACTCGCGCCCCGTGCGGGGCCGCATCACGGGCGTAGAGCGGCCTGTCACCTCGAGCAAGAACCTCCAGCCAGCCTTCGCACGCACGAACATGCACCCAGGAAAGAGCCGCCGTGCCAGCGCATCTTGCACTGACGTTTGAGGCATGTTCTTACTACGCCCCATGATCACAAATACGACTGCGAACGACGAGCGATGAACGACGACAGCTGCAACTACGACTACGAAAGACGACGACGCCACGCCCTCCCTCCAGAGCTAGGTTGCTAGCTGCCCCCAGGGCGCGCCCCCTTGCGGCAGGCGTTCGCCCCCTGGTTTCTCGGCGGGCATGCGCAGCAATAGCATTTTCTTCGATGCGAATGTGTCGTCGTGGACCATGCACTTCGACCAGCTATAGCGACTCGCATGAGAGACGAGCGAACATCCAAGGCCAACTGGCATTTCCTCCAAAACAGCCCAATGGAGGCAGCTTGGGCACCCAGAACCTTGTCACTCTGCGTGCAGGAGGAATTCCACTCCTGGCAAGGCTGGCATCCGGCCTCCCCTGATATCCCTCCTCCTGCCACTACCCCCTCCTCCTCCTTCTCTTCCTCCCCCTCCTCTCCTTCTGTGCTTCGCCAGTTTTTGTCCTCTGCGGTTCCTCCAACGCATTGCCATCATCCTCCCGGTGTCCGTCGCGACAGTTAGGGCGTCGCATCCAGAAGTGCGGAGCTTGTTCAGGCATGCCAGCCGCGTGACAGTCCGCCGGCCCTAGACTGGGCCCTCAGCGACAAGGGGGACACGCCCTGAATGCAAGCCAAGCTGTGGCGTAGGAAGCGAAGAGGGTCGAGTGCAACGCCAGGGTAACAGAAGAGGGCAGGCAGCAACGGAGGACGAGGAGGGCAGCAACAGAGGACGAGGACAATGGGGGAGGCGGAGCGGGGCGATCAGGAGGACAGCGACGTGGTGGGAGCAAGGGCGGATGAGCAGCAGCAGCAGCAACAGGAAGTTGATTCTGGCATAGCCGTCTTGGATGTTGGGGCTCTGCCTGATAGCGCCTCGGATGGACTGGCGGAAGTTGTTGCGAAATGCCTGCTTCCTGTCCGCAACCTTGATCCTCGCGGCCCAGATGGCGCGGGCCGCCTCGCAGAATTTCGGGGGCACCTGGGAAGATATCTGAATGATTGATTCTTGCTACTGCGTGATTGTCCCCCCTCCCCTGCATCCTCGCCCCCCTGCTCCCCCACTCAAGTTTCTCTGTATATTTCCCCCTCCCCCCCCCCCCCCCCCCCCCCTCGCACTCAAGCTGCAGGGCGCCGATTTTGTCGAGCGGGCAACCTGCTGGATGTTCGCGCTGCCCTGACAGAACATGCCGATGATTGCCAGGATGGTCGCGGCCCTGGCAGACCCCTTGATGTAGCCGACAGAGAAGGCCCGATGAAAACCGCCACCAGCTTGCACAAAAAACAAATCGCCAAAAAAGCTTGCACAATGCTGTCCAACATCTCCCATTCAGTCGCCTCATGCACCCATGGCGGCTCGCTGTTTGTAAGCGTGCCGTAGCTGATGCACTGCTCAGCCAACTTGATAGAAACGCGGCGCTCAGGGCCCCACTGATGAGGCTTGCGATACGCATCAACAATCACCCCCCCTCTCTCCGCCCTCCCCTCATGCCCGCTTGCCCTTCCGGCCCTCCCAGACATTTCTCAATGTTCCCCTCATTTTTGCCACTTGCATCTTTGGCGCTGCTCTCGGGATGCCGCGAGAAGAGCGAGGGGTGCAGCGCCATCGGAGTCTGGAACGTTGAGTTGTCAGCGTCATGGACCGAATGCTTGAGAAGCGCTTTCTCGTTGGGGTAGTTGACCGAATTCAAGAAGGAAGTGGGTGTTAATGTATGCCAAGAGGTTTTCTTGGGATGTCTTCTCACTGCAGACTGCGTTCAAGCACTGCCGGGGCCACCGTGATCATCGCGCATCTGGGTAAAAGCGTTGAGCACGCTCATCGCAGTAGTCTCATCCGACGTGTCAACCAACCATTTGCTCGCCAGACTTGTCGAGCCTGGGGTGGCAACTCCGCCGGTTGGGGTTGGAGCGACTGGAGGTGGGGCAGCCCCTGCTGCCAATTCTCCGAACGGGGTCTCTGCGTCGCGGCTGACGCCGATGGCAGGGTTTGGCATTCCAGCTGGGGTTCCAGCTGCCATCGTTACTGCAATGCGCTTCAGGCCCAGCTCAGGAGGCAGCGACTGGGAATTCCTTCGACAGGAGCGGCCTTGAGCTGGATGTGGCTAGGCATAAGCATAATGCTTACGCTGGCGAGCTCATGTCAATCACAAATGGCATATGTAAATGGGCACATATGTGCATGGGATTTCCTCCTGCTATGACCGCATCATCTAGCAAAACCCTGTTCTTTCTCATTCCTCGCGCTTGCCCTCGCTGTCGCCGCCTGCCCCCCCTCCTCCTTGCCGCGCAGGAAGCCTGGCACCAAGCTTGGCATCGAGGCGCTGTGGTCAGTAGCAGAGGGGGGCAAGGGATCACGGAGCAAGGTGATGGCGCAATAGTGCAGGTGTGGAACCAAGGAGGGGATGCAGTCAGTAAACGAGCGCAGCGTATTTCCTGGACGGGAATGTAGCCACAAAATGATCAGATGGCGAACGCCTAGGCGTTTGCAATGCAGTTGCAGCTTCCAACACATGCTCAGGCCTTCGATGGCGACATCGATTGCGATAATAATGATATCTGCAACGCTGGTAAATGTAATGATGGTTTGCCTCGACGCGTGACAACGGCATCTGATGATGGTCTCCTGGGCAACCCTTATGTTGCCGGTCCCCTGGGTTGGCCCATGTTGCCTATGTTGCTGGCCCCCTGGGTCGGCCTATGTTGCCGGTCCCCTGGCGCGGGCGGGAGGGGCCCGCTGCGCTCTACGTTAATTGCCGATCCCCCCCCCCCCCCCAGACCGACCGCGTGCAATTGAATGTGGCCGGTTCCCCTGGGTTCAGAGCTGACGTCGGCGATCCGGGGGAACCGGCCGCATCAGCTCTGAACCCGGGGGAACTGGCCGCATTCAATTGAATGTGGTCGGTCTGGGAGGTCTGGCGCCAGGGGGGGGGGGATCGGCAACGCAGAGCGCTGCGCGCCCCCCCTGGCAACGCCTAGGGCCCGGCAACGTAGGCCAACCCAGGGGGCCGGCAACATAGGCAACCGCAGGGGGCTGGCAGCATAGGCCACCCCAGGGGACTGGCAACATAGGCCAAGCCAGGGGACCGGCAACATAGGGCTGCCCAGGAGACCAGCATCATATACAGTTGCCACCTGTAATCATCAAGTGTTAGTGCTACTGTCATTGCAATCATCATAGGTATCATTGTTGCACGACCAGGGCCAGCATCATCTGATATTTCTGCGGGCGAGGGAAGAGTGAGAGAGGGCGCGCTGCAAACGTTGACTCTGGCCCAAGAGAACATTGATACGATCGGCTGTGTATAGGGGCATGTTCGAACATCTGCAGACCTTGTTTGAGAACTCTTGGGTCTCCAATGATGCTGCGCGAAGCTTGGGGTCCCTTGGAGAAGGGGGAGTGGCTCCCAGATGGCTCCAAGAGGGCTCCAGAGGGCTCTCAGAGAGCTCCCAGGAAGGCCCAAGAAGGTTCCAACAGGGCCCAAACAAAGGCACACATTATCCCAGTGCGACCCTACCTAGGAGTTTGAGCATTTAGGAAAGCAACATCTACATCTACACCGACAGCTACATGTACATCTGCACCTGCATCTACATCTACATCCACATCAGCAGCGAGACTCACATCTACATCTACATCTACATCTACACCTACATCTACATCTACATCTACACCTACATCCACATCTACACCTACATATACATCTACATCTACACTTTCGCATTGGTTTCGCTTCTGCTTTGCATTGCCATTGCTTTTGCTCTTGCCTTTGCTTTTGCCGTTGCCTTTGCTTTTGCTTTTGGGGCTGTTCAGCACTCCTTGCAGGAGCTGCAGGCTGTTCACCACTGCTTGCAAGAGATGCAGGCTGTTCAGCACTGCTCGCGGCTCCTGCAAGAGCTGCAGGCTGTTCAGCACTGCAGGTCCGGCTTTGCGTTGCGTGTGCTTTGCTATGCTGTTGCTGAGATTGATTTGCCTTTGCTTTGCTGCTATGCTATGCTATGCTATGCTATGCTATGCTGCGCTATACTATGTTATGCTAACACATGCTTTGATATGAGTTGCTATGCTGCGCGATGCTATGATATGCTATGTTGTGCTATGCTATGCTATGCTATGCTATGCTATGGTACGCTCGGCTGCGCTGTGTTATGCTATGCTCTGCTATGCTACGCGATGCTGCGCTATGCTGTGCTATGCTGTGCTGTGCTATGCTGCGCTATGCTATGTTATGATATGCGATGCTGCGCTATGCTATGTTGTGCTAAGCTATGGTATGATAGGCGATGCTGCGCTATGCTATGCTATGCTATGCTATGATATGATATGATATGCTGCGCCATGCTATGTTATGATATGCTATGATGTGGTGTGCTATGCTATGCGATGCTGCGACGTGCTATGATAAGCAATACTACGCTATGCTATGATATGCTATGCGGCGATATGATATTCTATGATTTCCTATGCTATGCTATGCTATGATGAGCTATGCTATGCTATCATATGCTATGCTATTGTATGCTTGTCTATGATATGCTATGATATGCCGTGTGAATGCTGCGCTGCGCTATGCTGCGCTGCGCTAAGCTAAGCTAAGCTAAGCTAGGTTAAGCTAGGCTAGGCTAAGCTAAGCTAAGCCAAGCCAAGTTATGCTAAGCTAAGGTAATATGAGAGAAGCTGAGCTAAACTAAGCTGAGCTGAGCTAAGCTAGGCAAAGCTCAGCCAAGCTAAGCTAACCTAATATGAGATAAGCTAAGCTAAGCTTAGCTAAGCTAAGCTAAGCTGGGTGAACCCAGGGGGCGCCACTGGGGGAAACGCGGGGCGGATGCTGGGGGAACCGCCCAGGCCGGTTTCCACTGCCTGGCACTTTAAGCCGAGAGAGTAAGAGCCCTTCTAGGCAGAGCCTAGGTAGGGACAAAGACACAATACATGCCTTCCTCTTGAAGCCTTCTTGTGTATGTTTGTTTGTTTTTTTTGGGGGTGCCCTCATGGGGCCTTCTTGGACCCCCCCCCTGAACGCCTTGCGAGGCAATCTGAGGACATGCGCAAGCCCATCTTGAATGACTTGGGAGCAGCGATGATTGCACCGTGAGAACCTTCGCCAAGTTTTGGGAGGGTGGGCGTGTATATTCATGCGCCCTGATTGCTGGTACTCTGTGCTGTACATAATGTTGGAGGTATGCATCCCCCTGCCCCTGCCTTCGCTGTCTGCAGAGGTGGCGCGCCTTCGGTGAACGTCGAGCCGATCAACTTGCTCAGCTCCGCGCACCTCGCGCGCCGAAGGCGGGGGGGGGCAGGGCGGGCGAGGGCGAGGGGGTGGCAATGCAGAAGCAATCATCACAAGGACAGCAAGTCTAAAACATGCACCCCTGCCCCATCATTGGATGCCCAGCCTTGAGGTCTGAGTAGGAGACGGTATCTAAGCGAGGGTCGAACAAGCATTCGCCCTCCTCGCGCTCAGGGTCCCCAAGAGGTTGCCGATAGTATCCCCCCCAAGCGCTGGCAAGCCGTTGTCCCAAAGCCTTGACATATCTAAGGGCTGTCCAAGCCACGTCCGGGCCCCAAGTTGCCCCTGCGGCATCGGCAGCCTGGGCGCGCTGCAACGAAGTCAGACAAGGCCCCTCAGGATGGCCTGAGCGCAAAACATTGCTTTATCCCAGGATTCCCCTCAGGCAGGAGTTCGACATTTGCCCCCCTGCCACCTCGTTGCAGACGTTCCTGGATCAGCCCCGGGCGATTTCAGCGGATCTCCAGAATTCACACAAACCCCAGAGCTGCATAAGGTGCAGCTTCCGCGCGCGAGAACTGAGTGACTGATCGCTGCTGTACCAGGCATTTGCTCAGGTGAGAGAATGCACGCTGGCTCCTGCAGCTTGCTACTAGAGGAAAAGCAAGTCATGCAAGACGCTGCGTGGCGTAGACAATCCCGATGCTGCGCTTTCTCTACGTCGCTACAAGTGGCA